GAGAGGTTTTTGCTATAGGGCATGTGCGCTTGCCAGAAAGACAGAGAGACAGAGAGACAGAAAGTGAGAAATCACCCCCCAGGGGGGGTGGCCACACCTCAATCCCTTCTCCTCGATTCTTCTCTTGGGATCTTGGGCACACATGCACACGCACCCAGCAGGAGTTTAAGCCACCGGGTCCAGGAGTCAAACCACGGTCGACTACATGGGAGTTCAGTGACGTAGCCATTATGCCACCTGCTGGCCCCTCTCATCACTATTTCTGATGACAGAGAAGGACCACAGATATAGAGGAAACTACATGCTGGTACCTGCTGGATAAGTCCCAATGAGGCCAGGAGGTCCCACCCAGGACCCAGGATTTGAGGTACCCTAAACCTTTTACCACAAAGGTAACAGACAAGCCCCTGTCTAAGGCCTTACCATGTCTGCTCTTTGTTTCTGGCCTCCCAGGTCCTCCAGGGCTTGTGAGAGTTGAGCCTGCAAGATAAGAAGAGGTTGTGAGTGAGCAGCCTTTTCCTCCTCCCACCTCCTCTCTCCTCAGCCCTGTGGCCACTGCTCCCTGCTGAGCAAACAGGGCTTGAGTTGGGCAGCAGGCAGCTGCCAGGGCCTGAGCTGCTGCCCCAGTGAGGAGACAATAACCAAGTGGGCCACCTGGGAACACAACAAAATCAAGTCCGTTCCCAAAACCTGCTGCTTAAAACTGACCATGAATTACAGGTGGATACAGAGGGGAGGTCCTGAGAAGGACTCTGGAATTACAGGTGGAGGCAAGAGTGAGGTATTCAGGGAAGGATCTCCAGTGCCTCCTGTAAGAGAGAGGAAACCAGTCACCCCATTGGCAGTCTTATGTTCCAGAAGGACTGACTCAGGGGACTTTATTGACAGAGACCACACCTAGAAAATCTCTCAGGCTCCTCAACCACTCAAGGCTCCACTCAAGAGCAGGACCCAGGAATACAACCAGAGTGAGCACCCCACCACACACACCACAAACACACACATGCACACATACTGGCCCCAAAGTTAGAGAGGAAAGGGAGGCTCTGGATTACCCAGGCCAATAATGGTCATGCTAAGGCCTGAGAACCCGGCAGCCTTCTCCTGACAGAACAGCCTCTGCCATGGGGCTGGGTTGGTCCTCAAGCTCCACTTCTCCTGAGGATGGCATCCTCACAGTCATGACCTTAACTGCTGCCCCAACCTTTGCTGGAGCAATCTCAGGTACAAGGAGCTCATCCAGTCCTCAGAGAGCACCAATAGGAGCTCACAGGCCTGCCATGTTGGACATGGGTCAGTTTGGCTGGCACAAAGGCCACCAGGGAACAAGTGTGGGCCAAACTCCAGAGCAGGAACTTGCTTGTGGCCAAAAGCAGAGGGCTCCCCAAACTAAGTTCCCTATGAGTCACACTTTTCCTGCCCCCCAAACTCCCTACCAACGAGAGTGGTTCGCCTCTAGTCACGTGTAGTTTCCTCATGGGTCACATCATTCAGCTAGGGTGTAGTCACAAAGTGAGAATAGATCATTCGCTTCTCCCAGAAAATAATGTGAAATAAATGTATCAAGAGAGTTATGTGGCCTCTGTTGGTAACCACATGGCAGGTGTCTCCTGCAGTCTCTGGGCAGAAGCACTACCATTCTTGTTTGATCAATAACCCATAAGGAGTGGGCAGCTGCAGGAGCAGGTGGCAGCACCTCTACTGGGCAGGGACCTGTCTCGGAGAAGTGGATCACTCTTCTTTTTCTTTTTTTTTTTTTTTTTTTAATATATATATTTTTTTAATTTCTAGAAAGGCAGTTTTAGCTTTAATAAATCAAACTCAAAAAATGTTAAGAGAACTTTGCTTAAGACTTAAAGCCAGGAAACAGGTTAGGATTCTGTTCAAATAGTAGGTACAAGGATCTGTCGACAATTCAAGAGAAGACAAAAATCCTTATCATTGGAGTACAAAGCATAGAAAAGCATCAGTATTGTTTTAGTTAAAAGTCATAAAATTCTATTTCACCAGCTCAGTCTCATATACTTAATTTAACTTCTGCTGTAGTCTGAGCTTTCCATTTAAATTCTAGAAGGTAACATTCTACTCCAAACTTGTCCTTAACATTAAGCTGGCCCTTTTCTTAGATGGTTTTTAACTCTTATTTCTGTGTGTCTGACTTTAGTTTTCCAGATATAGCACTCCCTTCAGAACTTCTTGGAGAACTGGTCTGGTATCGGAAAATTCTTTCAGGTTTTGTTTATCTGAGAATGTTCTTGTCTTCTCTTCCCATATGAAGGATAATCTTGCAGGGTATAGTATTCTTGGTTGAAATTGTTTTTCACTCAACACTTTGAATATATTTTCCCATTCTTTCCTTGCTCGTATTGTTTCCGATGAGAGGTCCACTGTTAGCCTGATGGGATACCCTTTGTAGGTAATTTTCTGTTTCTCTCTTGCCAGTCTTAGTTTTGTCTGTGGTTTTGGTCAATCTGGCTGTAATGTGTCTTGGAGAAGATTTTCTTGGGTTGATTCTATTTGGGGTCCTTTGTATTTCTTGGGACTGGGTCTTTGAAGCCTCTCTAGGTCTGGAAAGTTTTCTTCCAGGACTTCATTGAATAGATAATCAATGCCCTCATTAGTCTCTTCACCTTCTGGGATACCAATTATCTGGATGTCTGGACATTTAATGGTATCTAGTATTTCTCATATATTATTCTCACTTTTTTGGACTATTTTCTGTTTTTGTTGCAGATTTTTCTAGGCCAGTGATTCTGTCTTCTAAATCTGAGATTCAATCTTCTGTATGATCTAGTCTGCTTTTAATACTTTCAAGGGAAGTTTTGATTTCCTGTATTACAGCCTTCATCTCAAATAGTTTTGTTTGATTATTTTTTATGATGTGTATTTCCTCTTTCAGATTGTGCGAGAACTTCCTCACCTCCTGGAACTCCTCGGATCTCTTCTCCTATCTCTTCTGGAGTTCACTATCTCTCTTCTCTTGCATCTCTGCTAGCTTTGTCACTATGAATATTCTAAACTCTTTATCAAACATTTCTGAGTTCCATTGAACTGTCTGTGAATGAAGAGGAGTTATTCTTTTTCCCTGGGGTAGGTATTATCTTGGTTTCTCATATTTCTTGTGCCTCTGTGGTGATTTCTAGTCACCTGATGGATTATATGTTTCTTCCTAATTTCTAGAAGGTCAATCTGAGCATTCAGGGGTAAGCAGGAGGGGATCTGCAATCTCTTTGCCATTCCATTTTTTGTCATTTTGTGTAGCAGATTCAGTGGGTATTGAGGAATATCCACTGAGTTGACCCTGATAGTATTCAGATGTTTGGCTATGGTTCCCTTAGATCTTCTAGACACTTTGTGCATGGAGGCTAAGCAGCAAAGTAATGAGGTAAAAAAAAAAAAAAAAAAAAAAAAAAAAAAAAAAAAAAAAAAGAAAAAAAAAAGGAAAAGAAAACAGAGAAAGAGAAAAGAGAGTGAGAGAGAAAGGAAAAAACAATTCCCCAAATTCATTTTTTTAAAAGCAAAAAATACACTAGTATCAGCTGCAATGGAGGAGTCTTCTCAGAAGGCCTGCCCCTTGCCTCTCCTAAATGGTATCCAGAGAAAGGGGATTATTAGCAAGATAAAGGGAGATCTGAAAGCCAAGAGAATACTTTACCTTAAAAAATTTGAAAAAAAAAAAAAAAGAAAGAAACATTATGAAAAAATGAGACGACAGAGAGAGGCAGAGAGATATAGAGAGAAGGATACAGGGGGCACCCTACCACTCGAGACTGGGGGTTGGAGGCTGAATTTTCAGTAGAAAATCTTCATTTCTCTTATTCCCTGAAAGCACTAGTTCTCAGCTGCAATGGAGGAAAAGAGAATCACTCTTGTCCAAGGAAGGAGAGTGAGACTCAAACCCAGCCCCACCAGACATGTAGTCAGTTATCCAGCAGGAGTCAGCATTTGGCTCCCAAAGGCCTGCATGAAAGGGAGGCCTGAGCACTCCGTACAGAGGGGTGTGGGGAGAACGATCTCTCAGCCATCATCGTGTTTCCTAAGGTCCTTCCTAAGCCAAACCCTTGTTTCCTGTGTGCTGACCCTCTGTACTAGGCCGTGATGTCCATTAAAAGCTCATCGTTACTCTGTAGACCTGCAGGAGCTGAAGTTCCCAGGACTGAAAGTAAAGGAGGGAAAGCATTGACAATCCAGGAGTTTAAAAAAAAAAAAAAAAAAGAAATCATTACTGCAAAAATGATTCTTCCTAAAATAATACCTACAAATCCAAGCCAAAAAACAAAGATAAAAACCAACCCCATTTCATTATGAGACATGAGCTGAGCTTGATGCCAGGCTGGGGGGTCAGCAAGGACCTCCTCACGAGCAGCTGTCTCAGTCTCCCCTCAGCCTGAGTATCAAGAAACAGGCACAGCCAACAGGCAGGCACAGTGAGGGATATGTGGCACAGGGAGGCTGGGAACAGGGGGCACAGCGACCACATAGGCTCTGCAGAGGCCACCGTTGGTGGGTAGGAAGTGATGTGCACAGAGGCAGAAACAGCGGGCAATGGGAACATCCATAGACCTGAGTGGGCATCACGGCTCAGTCTGCAAATTTACCACCACCCACAGGCTGACAGAGCACAAATATTTATACAGAAAGGATGAGATCGACCCTGCAGAGCCGGGACAATAGCAGAGCCTGGGCTTGGTATAGAGAATCCTCCCACTGCTGGGCTATGAAAGGCAAGAGGACACATCCCTTTGCTGTTTCCCATGAAGCCAGTAGGTCTTTGAGAGGCAGCACCACCAAGAACTTTCTCCTCTGGGGACCCCCTGCAGTCAACACCCTGCTGCTGTCATGCTCTTCCAACTCACCCACCCTTCATGGGAGATGGGTTTACTTACTGGCCCTTACTGTAAGAGGACAGACCCTGAAACTCAGGAGTGAAGTCATATACACACCTGCCAAGTGGTCAGTGATGAGGTCACTGCCAGGCCCCCCTTCTCACCTGCTCTCAGCATATAATCCTTTCACTTTGCCCCACAAGAGAGCCCCTCCCCACCATTATCTCATGACCATGGGGAACATAGAACAGATGGTGACAGCGTTCTCTACCTGATTAGTATCAGGAACGTAAACAGAACGACTACAAAGCAACGTGAAGAAAAATAAACAACACGACAGAAAAATGGGCAAAAGTTGCAAACACACATTTCCCAGAAAAGGTAACGCATATGGTCAATAAACATACAAAAACGTAATCAACATCGCTGACAATTAGGAAAAATGCAAATCAAGATCAACAATGAAATACCACTTAGCATCCAGTGGGCAAAAAAATGAAGAATTCTGGCAATGCTGAGAGTTGGAAACGATGTAAATCAATTGGATCTTATATATACTGATAAAAGGAATGGAAATTAGTATAGAGGATAATTTGCTATTTCCTTAATGCTTAATATTTGCATACTATATAATCCAATTATTGTACCTGGTTT